CCCGTTGCAGATGCTGGTGGCCGTGCAGAACAATCTCCTCACCCGGCATCCACAGCTGCTGCTGTGCAGTTACAAGAACATCGTGCACCTCTGCCGCTGCATATGTTTCGCTACTGCTTGAGTTGCTGCGCTTGGTGCCACCACTGCTGCTGCTGCTACTCGCTGACCCTTCGAGTAGATACCGGCTGCTGCCAGTAGAGAGGAACAAATATAAGTAGACTATAGGCCAAGAATGTCCAATGAGCAGCCTGTCGGCGACCCCCCCAGCGGGTGTTGCTGCCGCTGGCGCTGCCAGTCCTGCTGCGGCGGAAATGGGAGCGGCATTCACCGCGCCGCGTTCGCGCGCCTCCACAGTTGAAAACTGCTTAATGGAAGAGTACAACATAAAGAAAAGCAAGAAGGGACGGGAGAGCCGCACCTCCTCCAAAAGTGGAGGGCAGGGGGGCGGGGGAGTAAGGGCAAGGCAGCGGAAGGGCAGGGCACTGAGGAGGCAGACGAGCACAGCGGGGGCCGCCGTAGTGGTGAGTTTGTTGTTAATAATGGCAGTGTGAGTAGTAGTAGTAATATAGAAAGGTCAGGGGAGGGACGCTGGAAGGGCTGTTGGTATCACCACAGCCCTGTAGCCGATGCTCTAGCAAGACCCCTCAGCTAAGGCTGGGTAGTCACAGAGTAAGCAACCGCAGGAGCGAAGGAAACAGAATACGATAGCGCAAACATATTAACTGGCACGCCTGGATGTGTGGGGGGGGAATGCGCTGGGGTGCCCGTAGAGCTCTCCCACTCCCCCGCACACCCACACAGACACACACACATGCATGTACACAGGCACACACACATTCACACCCACAGGCAGACGGTTAGGGCCCCTCCCCTACGCTTAGCATGTTGCTGAGCTGCTTCTTGAACACATCATCGTAGTCTGAGGAGATAAATAGACACCGATATGAATATCCGGGCTATCAGCATCAAAGGGGAAGGTGGTAGGCGCGTGGGAAGCCCCGCGAAATGGTTCCCAGCGCCAAATGGGGATCCATACGGGGAGTTGTGGGCACGGAGTTGTGGGCACCGTGTGACCTTTTGTACCCTCAAGACAGCAAAAACACGTTATAGGCAACTAAATAGTCCCTAGACCGCCCATAGCAAAAGAATAGAAGCTTTCCCACTCTTCTCATGCTTAGAAAGCTTTCCAAAGAGGACCCGAAAGCCATACTGATGTGGTGTCGGTCCTGACGGCGCTGACGATGTCCGCAGGGTGGCCCAGCAGAACCCAGAAATGTTCTAGGCGGATCGATTTCCGTAGGCAGTTTTCCGAAACCCATTCAGGTTCATGGGTTCCCCGCCATTTCACATATTCGCGTTCTCCGTGAGCTCTGCGCGTGGTAACCCGTGCCTCTAGAATCTCTATATCCTCCTATATCCTCCATGTGTGGCTTCTCGCGACGACGTTACAGCCATTTCACCACCAGTGTGCGAGAGGATCGCGGGATTCCCGAAACGAGTTCTTAGAAACCGACGTTAATAGTATGATCAGATCTCGACGTCGAGGGTAACTTAATGATGTACGCCAACGCATTGAACCGGGAGCTTAGGTCAAACGGCCCAACCCATCGTGTTGCGAATTTTTCGGGTTGCTCGCCCTCATCCGCGCTACAGAGGTAGTGCGAATCCACCAGAACCAAATCAGCTGAGTTGAAAGTAACTGCTAAGCGTCTTTTTTCGTAGTTTCCGGCTTGGCGTTGCCCGTGCCTTTCTCATGCATTCCCGCGCTGCTGCGGGCTGTGTGCGGAAATAAGAGCCCGCTGTCATTCTGGCTTCTACCGGCGAGATCCAGCGTCAGCTCAGCTAGTGGAGTTTATGTCTAGACCAGGGGCGCCGGTGAGAAACGACTTGGCGAGTACACTGTAGGATTATAAAGCCATTCTGCGCAAGCAAGAAAATCAAGCCAGTTATATGAGTTCTGTTGCGTGTAAAGTCACATATACTGCACCAGCGTGGTGTTAGTTCGCTTGGTCGGATCATCTGCCTCAGGATTTTTTGCGATGGTCATTTGTGCTCGACGTTGAGCCGTTGCGTGATGCTGTGCCAGAGGGAGCTGACAATCTTCGGCTCCCCGTCGGTAACGATGCTTTNGCTGTGACCGTGCTCGAGCAGGGAATAAAGTGAGCGTATTTGCTAAGCTGACCCGCAACGTCATAGATACCATCATAGCCTCTGACTGCTGTTAAGCCCACTATGAAATCCATTGAGATGTCCATCCATATCCCTTCGCAAAATGGCAGGCTCTGCACGAGTCCGGGTTTGAGGGCGTTCCGCAGCTTCTTATTCTGGGAGTCCGGACAAAAGAGGACGTATTTCTCGACTGAGGGGCGCATCCCAGGCTACCAGAAGGACCTGGCAACACGCTCCACCGTTGTATTGACTCCACCATGACCTGCGAACGCATGATCATGCATTTTGCGCAAAACGACATTGCGAAGCGAGGCTGGAAACTACAATTTACTAAGTCTATGCTTCATTTGGTACCACAGGAGGTCGCCATTGATGCTGTAGTGCTTGACCGGTCTCCCATTGTTGGGCTTTGCTAGGATTGCGGCCACATGAATATCTACGGGATAACAAAACGCAATTTGGAGATAAAACGAGAACTACCACAGGCAAAGGCAGTCGCGGAGCACGGTTGCAGACCTGTAAGGCGTCTGGAGAGTGCGTCAGCTTCCATATTGGTGATACCCTTGATATACTTGACAGTGAAGTCATACTGCGTGAGCCGGGAGAGCTANGCCAGCCATATAGATAATCTGGACACTTTATGACAGCCCAGCAGGCCGCGTAGAGCTCCTCCTCCCGTATCATATACTTTTGCTCCCTCTCCGTGAAACGATGTGAGTAGCAAGCAAGTACTTGGTGTTTTCGTGTGCCGTCAGCCTGCTGAAAGACCATAACCCCGACTGCGGTGTCGCCGGCATCGGCCGTGATGAAAAAGGGATTATCAAAATCAGGGGGTACTTGTAGTGAATACTCTCTACAACCACGGCAGCAATGCCGTGCTCGTTGTGAAATGTGTGACGGTTGTATGAATAGTGAAAGTGCCTGAGTTCTTATTGATGTACATTGAATATAACGTTGGTGAAGGCATTAAGCATTCTTTATGGAGTGACCATTGGTATGGTTATAGGAGAGGCTGACTTGTGCCCTGGTGCAAAAGCTATTGCACCAAGCTACGCCGTCTCCTCTCCCAGCCCCAAAGGCCGCAGTGCCTGCTCTACTGGGGTTGGGAGATAACAGTTTTTCAGGGTGAGAGAGAGAATAAAGTGAGAGAACTAATTTCCTTAACCTTTGTTAGTTCTGATATGTTGTTGCTCAGTATGATAGATATTGCTTGCCAGCTCGCTATACTGAGCTGTGGGGTTCCAGGGATGCGCCCCACAGTAGCCCTTCAGAGATACAAGCTAGTAATACGTAAAGCTTACTGAAAATATTTGTACAAAAGATAGATACTCTAAGTTATCTTTATCAGTTCTCAGCATTGCATGAGGGACTGAGGGCTCTCCTCCACTTCTCATCAGCTTACGGGGCCTGCAGTACCTAAAGTGTTGTGGAATCCCATCACCCCATCGTGTGAGGGAACTTGGATCCCTTATACGCCTCACAATTTGGCAGAGGTCAGAGCATCTACTGACGTGAGTGGGATCAGGTTCCGAGGGCCACACGATCCCTATGGCCCCGAACTCCCCTTAGATCGGCGCTTTTGAAGGGGAGTTTCTCACAGTACTGGAGATGATCTCAGGTTCCCGATGGGTCGTCGCTGNATCGGCGCTTTTGAAGGGGAGTTTCTCACAGTACTGGAGATGATCTCAGGTTCCCGATGGGTCGTCGCTGGTCCATCCTCATTCTCCGTCCAAATTGACTGCTTGTTCTTCTCAAAAAGATCAGTTAGAGGGGCAGCAATACGAGCGACTCCAGGAATGAAATTGCGGTAGTATGGGGTGAGCCCGACAAACTTTTGAACGTCCGTCGTCGTGCGCAGCGGTAGCGGCCACCTCTGAATCGCCTCGATCTTAGGCGGATCTGGTTCAACCTCTGCTGCAGAGACACGAAGCCCTAAGAAAATGATTGTTTGCATGAAAAACGAACACTTCTGTGCTCTCACCAACCATTGTTTCGCACGCTGCAGGTGCTCCTGCACACTTCGGCTGAACGCAAGCAGATCGTCCATGTATATTACCATCCATCCCTCAGGGATGGACCCCCAAAAGCCTTGATTGACCTGCCGCTGCAGTTTAGCACCACGAGTCCAAATGGCATACAAGTGTAATCCAGCTTGCGAGTGCGGGTGCGGGGTGCTGCTTGTGCTGTGGATGAGGTGGGACCTGCAAAAGTGCATCAGCGAAGTCAAATGTTGAGTATACCGCTACACCCTGTAAGCGGTCAAGGATTCTCTGGATCTTGGGCATCGGAAAATTCTGTTTCAATGTGATTTTGTTGAAGGGCTTGACGCAGATGCGCCACCTGCCGTCCTTTTTCTTCACCCACACGGGATTGNTGTGATTTTGTTGAAGGGCTTGACGCAGATGCGCCACCTGCCGTCCTTTTTCTTCACCCACACGGGATTGTCCCCAAAGGCGCTAGTTGATCGGTGAACCTTGGCCTTTTCTAGAAGTTCACCAGCCTGCCGCTCAATTGCCTCTTCAAGATGTGATGGCCGCCTGTACCTCGGAACGAAACTCGGAGCTGCGACGGTAATGAGTTCGATGCGGTGCATTGAGCGTTCCGTGGGTGGCCTGCCCGCTGGTAATTCCTTGTTATTTTGTACATCTGAGAACACTTCCTTCAGTTTTGCTCTCTTCTGCTGTTTATCGGTTGTTAACTGGATCGAATCCGCAAGACTGCGCCCTTTACCATACCGTCACAACGGAGTGCATGCATATCTCCGTCGTTTCCTTCAGTGCCTCTGCACTGCATGCGAGCCTCGTCGCTGCGCTTTCGTTGAGACACGGTTTCCAGTCCTATGACCATAGAAGATGCAAATTCAGTTGAGAGCGCTGAGAGGTGCACTCTCTCATCACTTCCTGGCGGAAGACATCCATGGTGCCATCAGGGGAACGCATTTGTGCCTTCCACTGGGTCACCCACCACATGCTCTCCCACTTAAACGAGAGACATTAATATGAAGAGGGGCTCCTACATTGGACCTGNTTGCCGTCCGCAAACCGTAGCCCAGGGATTGTGCCAATGATTAGACCGGTGGGCTGCACCTCCTTGTTGTGGCTTCCGATATCAGATCCAATGCGCATCCCGTATCGAGTAGGGCTAGTAACTCCTGCACTTTAATACGTAGTTGTACGAGCACTGAATTAACTAGAGGTGGACCGGCGGGTGCGGCCCTTATCTGTTGTGGCCACATCATTGCGCCGCACGTTGCGTGGGGACCCAGGCTTTTGCTTGCGTCCTCTGTTTGTTCCCTTGGAGGTGCTGTTCGAGATTTAGTTTCAAATGTTCCTTAGTCTTCTTCGTAAGCTGGAAATCCCGAAGTACTTTACCCCGTCTTTAGCAAAAGAAGCAAGTGTGCCGTTCGGTATTTCCTCCTTGCTTTCTGGGTACTGAATTCTCTGTCTGCTGTCCGTTGGTGCTTCTACTCCCGCGTTGGGTGGGTTTGTTTTTCACAGCCGCAGTAGCCATAGGCTCCAAATAGGGATCATCCCCAGATCCGCTTTCTCTCTTTTCGGCTAAGGATGTGGTAGATGCATTCTTTCTTTCTTTTCTGCGAAGATACTTCATCATGTCTGCGAGTTCCACCTTTTGACACATCATTGCCCCTCCCGTAACCCATCCGGTTACCGCCTGCCCCTCGCCAGGGGATAGCCCTGCTATAAACCAATTATACAGCAGCTTCAGATCCGCCATAGGGCTTCGGTTCACCAAGGACTGATATTTCTCAGTGTAACGCTCTATCCACAGCTTCCCTTGTTTAAGTTTTCTAAGTTATGCCATGGCCTGCTCCCTATAAGACCCCGGGATAAACCTGTAACGCAGCGCATCTGGGAAGGCCTGGATGGACCTGATGTGTTCCGGAAGGGTAGAGCAGTTGTACGGTGTAGCCACCAACGCCGTGCATCCCCTTCAAAAGAGGAGGAGGCCAAAAGTAACTGGAATCATTCCGGGGCACTTCCTAAGCGAAGGTATAAGCCTTGGTATCTAAGGAACTCCTCCGCGGCCTCTGCATCCCGGCGCCCGTCATACCGCTTACGGCGGCACAGCCAAAGGCATTCCTCTTGAGATGCTTTTGGCGTAAATGCACTTTCCCCCGCCTTGGGTGCCGAGATGGAGCTGGCTTCAACCCTTCTAGGTCCCAGGACGTGCATGGGCCCCCCATCTGTGAGCGGATCATAACAATCTCCATTTTGCTGAGAGGATGCCGGTGAAAGTGACAGGGATACTGTTGAAGAAAGGGGAAAATGTTTTATTTTATTTCGTTTATTTTGTTTTTGTTTTTTTGCAGTCCCTGAAGCCACCCAGTGGTGGTTGGAATTCGTGCTCGCACCTGCCCTGATGAACCACGCGACGCTACCAAGTCTAACGCTTGTTCTCGGCCTTGATCAAGGACAGAAGCGCGCTGCAATGTAGGTAATGACTTAAAGTAAGGGTTCGCTGAAGCAGCAAGCATCCTTCTCCTGTCCTCAGGTGACCTGCGCGTTGCGCTCAGTGTCTGGGTGTTGCCTGGAGGAGGCTGCCTAAGACCGCGTAGCAGTGCACCTTGCTGCGGCTGGTGATACAAGCCAGCCTCACACATGCACACAAGGAAGCTTCGCTGAGGCTTCCTCTACTGCATGTTTGAATGTACTTATAGAACATATATATATTTGCGTACACGCAACCTAGCAAGGGCTGGTGAAGGCTCCTCTGCTAACTGAAGGCAGGCCATGCCACAGTGTGGTAGCCAACACCTAGGAAAAGTGCCCAANAAGGCTCCTCTGCTAACTGAAGGCAGGCCATGCCACAGTGTGGTAGCCAACACCTAGGAAAAGTGCCCAAAATTACTAAGGAGTGAGAAGTAATAACAAGCGTAGTTCTCGGAATATCCTTCGTGAATATAATTAATTGTTGAATGAGAATGCGAACAGATAAAGGGACTGCCAGCAGCGCGGCCGTCCCCGCCGCCTCGGCAAACCTGAGTCATCTATTATGCCGGCTGGCACACACAGGGTCGGGAAAACTTCCTGTGAATAATTTGGAAGCAAGGAGCAGCATTCTTCCGTTCGACAGCTCCTGGACTTCGCCTCTTTTGCAAAACCTCCATTAAGGGCGCTCTTATCTCAGTTTGATTAAGACTAAGACAACAACCCTTATTCCTTTCCCTTCCTTCTGCCCACACTCACCAAAAGATATACGAACGTAGCAGTTAGCGAAAGAGAACAAGTATATTGGCCTAATCACTGTCCCGCACGGCTTTGGTGATGCCGTAGTCAGCTATTGAACCATAGGGCACTACAATCCAACTACTGCATGCATGTTGGGGCTGTTGGGACTTCACGCCACCTGGTGCCGCGCAATTACTCCGAGGATGTTGTTTGCGTACTATTTAGTTACATTCACTGTACTTATTTGCTCTTGTTAGGGTGAAGGAGTTTCTGGCGAGCCCTGTC